CAGATAAAGTCCTAAATGTGAAAAGCAAAACTTTAAAAAAATTAGAAAGTACTACAGAATATAATTGACATTGAGATTCAGACAAATTTTTTAAGTAAACTCCAAAAAACCCCAAAATTATAAAAAGATTAATATATTTGACTACATCAATATGAAAACATTTCTCTAGGCTAATATCATTTTTAGAAAAGCAAACAAGGTAAACCATAAGCTGATAGAGATATTGGTAAAGCACATAACCAGCTACGGTTATGAAGGATATACAAAAAGCCCTTCACAGCAATAACAAAAAGCCCAAAACCTAGTAGAAAAATGAGGTAAGCATGTGAATAAATGAAAAACCCTCAGGCCAAAAAACAAGATGAGGGAAATGCCTATTAATAAACAATGAAATAACATTTCAAAGTACTAGATAAATAAACAACATAAAACTTAATGACTAATTTGACATAGAGAGAATGGCAATACTTTAAGATGACTCCCAGGTTTCTAGTTGAGCAGTAAGATGCACCATTAACCAGGACATGTTTCTATTCTAATATGTTTCTATTCTAATGTAAGAATAGAAACATATTATCAAAAATTAAAACATTTGAGTTTGAGGTAACTAAGGAATATCCAACTGAGATTTATATACCCAGGTGTGGAGCTCTCAGGGAAGAGAAGTTTGGCCCAGATTTCAGAGTCATGAGCATGTAGGTAGTTGTTAAGTTTATGACTGTGTTTGAGATTGCTCATGGAGATGGGAGAGGGCTATAGCCAAAAAGAACAAATACAGTGAAGTCAAGGGGAGATGTCTTATTGGTGTTGTTTTTTTTTTGTATGTGTGTGTGTGTGTGTGTGGGGGGGGTGTTTGTTTGTTTTTTAAGCCAACTTTGTTATTACTAAACAAATGCATTTGAAGTGCAGGCCATTCCTGCCTCATTTGTCTCTTTAATGGAAGATGAGTTTGTGTTGGCATTTGAGAGACCTGTGCAATGAGTCAACAGATTAAAGTCCCATTAGGGGGAAAAGAAACACTTGGAAACCTGCAAAACTATATGTTTATTTTCATAAGCAAGAATTTTATAACCAATGCATGCTAGCTATTTTACCATACCTTGGAGAAATTCCAATACCGTCACTGTTGATTATGGGAAGTTTCTAATGTTGATTAGCCACACAGACTAAAGAGATTTGACTTTGGCAATATAGATGCCTCCTTCACTGTGGAGGTTTGCTTTTTCAGTCTTATTTAACAAACACAGGAAGGTCAACTGCACGAGAGGTACAGTAGTGTCTTCTCTTTAGTTAGTATCCTAAATCACACGTATTTTGTTATTACATATCAAGATCAAGAAGGCAAAAATCTTGTATTTAATGGCTTTCATTTCTCAAACATGAAGGGGAAAAAAATCAAAACTACTTTAATTCAATGGAATGAAAGCAATGAATATTCCACAAACTGAAGCAGAATTTTAGCCAATATCTTCATAAAATTGTAAATTTATTCCTATAGCTATCTATATATAATGTGTAATGTGTGTAAGTTATTCTTTGTTTTTAAAGATATATTTATTATAACAGAATTTCTGGACCTGTGTCACTCTAATACCATTTCATAAAAGAAAAACCAATGATTTTTAAATATATATCTAAAATGTTTACCAACTAAACATGTATATGAAGATATACAAATTGCTTTCTTTATATAATGAAGTTTAATATCCATGCCAAATAGAAACAGAATAATCTTTTAATGTGCTAAATTTCTACATGGTTTAAATCAAAAAGTTTCTATAGCATTTGTGAAAAATGTCATACAAAGAATTAATACATGAACTATTAGCAACACAACATCATAAACAATATACCATCCAGACACATTAAATTTTAAAAACACAGATATATTTACTTATACAATGAACTTTAATGGTTTAGAGTGAGCACTGACATAGAAGTAAAAACCTAAATGCTCATAACTTGATCAAAACCAACAAGTTTCTTTACAAAGAGAAATTCTAAAGATAAATCATATAAAACCATGAGCTCAACTTAATCTTTACTTACATTGATAATCACCCATTATCATTGTACATATTAAAGATTTAAAGCACAAGAAAAACATTGAAGCAAAAACACAGACTAGATTTTCTCCAAACTTCTTCTAAAATTGACTATAGGCATTCCCTTTTCTCATATGCCATTACATTTGTGACACAACTCAAACACTCAATTATACTATGTGGTGTAAGCTGATGAAACTACAGATAATTCATTTGGTACTATTCATGGATTTAAGCTAAGTTGAATCAATGAAACTAGCTCCATTAATTACCTCCTGATTTGATAGATGCTTTATGGTTATCCAGACATTTTAAAAGTCTGTCCTAATTCCACACATTCTACAGGATGGTATACTTCTTCATAAACAGTATTTTTCTTCCTTATCAACTTGTGGGGACACACTTTCATTCTCCATCCAAGTCACTTAGACTTCATGGTAGGAAATATGCTAATTTCATGTGGTAAGAACAAAAATCAGACCCATCCATATATCAGGATATTTTCTGCAAAGCAAAAATCTTATAGTATTTACCAAAAAAATATGATATTAATAACAAAAACTAAATAAATAGACTAACCTTTTTTTAAAAAAAAATGGGTCTATTCTAGGACACCACATGCATGCAAGGAAGCTACAAAGCTTCTGCTCTGAACTTGAACACTAGACAGCCAGTGGTCTAGTTGTGTTCTATTTGTAATGAACTGGTTGCTTGTTAGCAAAGAGTCCTCTATACATTTATGTAAATCACACACAAACAGTAATTACCTTCTGACAGAACCTGTGTTGGTGCCATTCTGTGCCTAACATGTATGGTACGTAAGACTGATGACAAAATAACTAAAGAACTATATGCTGCAGTTATTTCAGGAAAACGGGACTATATATCTACTTAGCCCTCCCTTGGAATAAATTTTTCATTAAAACGCTGATAACTTTCTTATTTTGAGAAGATCTTCATATCTCTGAAAGTCTTTGGGAACCAAGTCCTAAAGCACCATGATATACGTCATTTCTTAGCATTTCTTCCCCATGTGTTTGTATGCATTGCTTCTCTCAAAAGAGACTTCCTCTATTAACAACGCTGTGCCTGAAGAGGCCTTTGCAATATTTTAAAGTGTGTGAGTGCGTCTGTACAAGTACGTGTTATTTATATGTGTATATCTATACAGTCTATTTCTATTCAGATTGGCACAAGTTCAGATGTCATGCTTTCTGTTTAGCAACTAATCTATTCAACTTTCTGAAATTTTGTTTTTGCTACATACTGAGCAAAAAAAAAAAAATGAACGTATAGAGCTAATTCTGTAGGAGAGTCAGTAAATAAGATGAAGATGCCCTCCTGTTATTCTGCAGCCACAATTTAAAAACACAAATGTTTCCTGGATGAATTAACTTCATCTTTTGTGAAGAACATAGGTCATTTAGTGAAATTTTCTAGGATATTGGCTTATGAGCTATAAGTTGGAAGAATCAGTATGAATAACTTTATATTAGTATGGCTTCACAACTGTGAGCCTACAGAGAGAGCTGGCTGACTGCAAGCCACACACACATGTATGGGCTAGTTCTGTCTTTTATAGACAATAGCAGGAACTAACACTCAGAATTAGACAGAATGCATGGAGTATCATATGAGTCTGGCATTCAAATATTCCCCAAAAACATAACCAAAAATGTTTTAATAAATTTAACTAAATGTTTAAAATTACAAACTTTGTTTTTAATAAATAAAAAGTCACCCTATGGCCATAGGAAAAAAAATGAGTAACAAAATTACCTTATGGTCATAGTATCATGTTTTATAACTAGAAGCCCATGAATTCTCAATAGTTATTTTAACAGACCCTAAAACAGGTGAAACATCCTTACTATGAAAATGATTTCAGTTAACATCTCCTTTATTTAATCTGAAGAACTCCTAATGTTCCAATTCAACCAACAAACCACTTGTTTACGAATGTCACAAACCAAATTAAGATTAATAAGAGTTCCATAAAATTAAAACAAATCTATCATTAAAAACAAATATCTTAAAGCCTTTTATTAGTTATCACATAAAAGCTATATGAATACTCATAGCACCCTCTCTCTATAAAACAATACCCAAAGCCAAACAAAGATCTCTATTGCTCACTTGCATAATGGCCTCAAATCTGCCAGTGACTCAATTTGTAGAGCTACTCTGAGGCCACTGAGAGCACCATACCCACACACACACAAATTTCCACATTTGGAAGGTAAATTAACTTTCATTATTTATGTTAAAGTCATCTCCAAAATCGTGTCCACAATTTTCATTCTCTGTGAATGATTTCTTCCATGGTTAGACAGCATATTTCAGTCTTTTTTTAAAAGTGATTAATTGTTCATCCCCTCTAGTTTATACACATATACAAGAGAAGTACCACATCCCCACTTTTCAATTTTTTCTCCAGTTATTGTGGACTATCACCTTCTTGAAATATATTTAAAATGCCAAACTTGGGTTTTAATGTAAAATAACATTGTTTTCCATTAAGATGATTCTAAAAGGTTCCTGCAAATCTAAGCTTTATAGTATGATGGAAAGGAAAAAAAAGAGGCACAGAATATTGATATTAAAAAAAGAAAAGAGAAAGAAAAAACTCATTAAAGAAAGAAAAGAAAAGGAATAACCTTGACAATTAGTTATAATTTATTATATTTAATCTATTATTTTTATAAATGACTTAAAATAATTAACCCCAGGCCCAGTATTAGTATGGGAATTTAACATTAAAAAAACACGTAGTCCATTTCCCTAGCAGCACAAGATTATTGCGTGTAGCCTATGGTGCTGTTATTGTCCCATCTGAAAAATACACCTACTAGTAGACAGCACAGTCTAGATTTTAAACGAGAAATATAGTGCCCCATTTATAATTTATTTTCCCAGATTAATATACTCTTATATCATTATCTCTTTCCAATACTGTTACATACATTATGGTGTCTCCTTCTACTTCCTATTTGTGGAAAGTATTAAAATAGCTGCTAGAAAAAAATACATCCATTTTCTATAGCATTATTCAGTACTTTATATAACTACTCTGACTCCAAATGGTTGGTTATATAATCTGGCAGGGAAAATATTTTAAATTTATGATTGATAATGAATTATATGAAAGCACTAGCAATTTAAATTTCAAATTTATAATTTCTACATAACAAAAATATTCTTTAATATTACAAAAATATATTAATTCTATATTTAAGGAAAAACTGCCTTATCTCTTGAGAATTAAAAAACAAACTAATACAACTATGCTTTTCTCCATATATACCTAACAAGGCAATTGTGAGTAAATATAATCAGTCCACAAACTAGTAATTGGAACTGGTTTCATTATGATAATTTTAAAACTTTTTTTCAACAATTTCTATCAGATAACTTCTAATTATACAGAAAGGAATCTGCTAGAAAGTCTAAATATAACTGGCTTGAAAATAAATATTTGCTGATATCCTTAGGGACAAAATATGACAAGGCAGTCCTAATAGAAATAAAGCAAAAAGCAAGTGAAATTGAGCAGTGACAGATTCTTCATAAGCCTACACTTTCCTTTTGTAAAAAATGGGAGCAAATTCAATCTTTGGAACAGCCAATATTGAGTTCCCTAACATGAGGAAGAATAGAGGTATATTATTGGTAAAGGTAGATTGGGTCACTGAAAATCCATAGAATGCCAGAATTTGCAAACCATCAATCTAGGCTCAGTAATATAACTGGATGTTCTTTTATAATTCCTTCCTGAGTTATGTGTTATGAAAGCCACAAGGATTAAAACCTGAAGCTCTTAAGGAAGGAACAATATTAATCACTAATACACTGAATGAATACTTCCTCCTTCCAAAATGAGTATCTTGCCTTCTTTTTAATTCTTTTAAGGTGGATTTTGGCTAAGGAGGAAGAAAGAATGGAATACAACAATCATGGAAACATTTTAATCTACTGCCATTTCCAAATTATCTCTGAAATTAAATTATAAATTGTTTATTCAATAGTTTATTGCTTTAAAAATAGTACATGCTTTCCTCCGACGGTTGTGGGTTATTGTTAAGCTGCTTTCTTATTATCATTTAAAATTCTATGCCTTCTTAGATAAGTGCTTTAGCATAGGCTGCCATCTAATAATCTCACTTCTAAATTTTTTAAAAAGTATACAATAGGAGTAATTCCATTCTTTTTCATCCTTTACAAAAACAAGTACCCAACTGTCTTCCAGGTCAAATTCTCCTCCATCTAGATCTCTTAATTTTCTAAATGACTTCTAAAAACACATCCCATAATGAGAAGTCACTCTCCTTTAGTAGCTATTCAAAGTTATCTGGTCTTTCCAATAAATCTCTAATTTTAAAATTCAGTAGGTAGTTTTCAACCGTATTGTCACATCATGTTTAGCAAGGACTATATCCTTATTATTCAAGTATTATAGCCCTTCATTTTTCTTATAATCAATACACTCTCTTTTTAAAAATCATCTATGCTACGACAGCATAGTCTTTGTTTTGTTCATTGTCCTCATTTTCTTGTGGACCAGTGATTTTTACTTCTGGCCTTGGTGGTCTTTGAGGGTCTAAGTCAACCTGGAGGAAAGCAGATCAAAACAAGATATTTAGCTCTTTAGTTACAAAGATAATAAAACTTACAAGGAAAAAATTACTCAATATTCCATTTAGCTATATAAATATTCAACTAAGACCAGTTCCTCAGGTTCCTTTGTGTTTTAGTCTATCATCACCCAGTGAACACACCAGTCTCAACACCACTTGTACAGAAGCCCTTTCTGAAACCATAACCCACTCTGTGCCTTAAGGAGGGCATATACTCATTTCCTGTGCTACAGGCTTTATTTTTCTTGATGTTTTCCTTTATTTCCCTTTGAGTTTTTCAAGAGCATATTTATACTTTTCATTTTCACATTTTCAGAGAAAAGGGAAGAGAAGCACGTAGCAATTCTACCCTCATGTCTCATTAATCCAGTCCCATACTAGCTGTTCTTCTGTTAGTTTTCTACAAGAGCTTACAAATTCTTTGTGAATATGGTACCAAGTAGCATAAAATATCAAGCTGATAAAAGCAGGACAGGATACGAAAACACAGAGGCAGCATTGCTCCAACAGCAGCCTTTGTCCTTGCCACTTGGACTTCTCCTATGTTATTAATGATATTGTCTTATTTAGTCTGTCTTTCCCCACTAGTCTGAAAACCAAGGGGGTGAGATTAGAATTAGGAGGTTCTCAATCTCTGTTCCATGGAATCCTGGAGGCTCTACAGCCCCCAATGGCCACCTATGTGGGGAGAACAGGACCAGCTCCAAGTTCCCCAACCCTACCGGCCATGATTTATGTTCTAAAAAAGAAAAAAAAACGTTACCAGAACTATCTCTTATTTCACATTCTCAAATAACTCTCATGAAGTGTCTCAAATAGCATCTTGAACACAGTGCAAGAACAACAAATGTCAGTTGGTTATTGTGTATTTGTTATATATTTCCTGCTGTTTCCTACAGTCTGACCACACTTCGCTTAAGAACTGTTATGTGGAACAAAATGTTACATAGTGAACTAAATTTTTAGTCATTTTATAAATAAAGAATTCTTTTGAAGATTCTAATTATTAATGTATATTTTATAATTCATATAAATCTGGCTTTTCATGTAATTGGTTTGCTTAGAGTACCTATACTAATACAAATAGTATAAAAACAAAATATCATTTTAAGAGAGATGAGTCAAAAAAGATTGAATTTCTTGAGTGTAACTGCTCTGTCTTAGGCATGTGTATAGTCCTTAAAATCCCTAACTAGTCACATATCAGGCACTTGTTCATTTGATTCCCAATACATACCCTCGATATATACTTCTAATACTTGTTCTTCAAATTATATAACCTTGATTTTGACTGATACCCAATTCCTATGAAAGGCCTATTTTTAAAAATTAATTTTATGTCATGGTTTTATAGGTTTCACTTTTATAAAAACCTATTTGGGTCATAACATTAAATGAAGCTAGGCTACTGGAAAAATGCATACTTGGATTTTACTATCTTTGTCTCACATAGAATTTATACTTTGATTTTATGCTATAAGCATTCATCAAAGGCTACTATAATAACAAAGAACTTCATGACAGTTTGCATTATTGTGTTTCCTATATGAGTCCCCAGACAAGAGATTTTGCTTCCTTTGAGAAACATCTTTTTTCTTTTGCCTTCCTAGAGAAATTAATTTTGTTTCCTTATGGAGATAAAGGGAATCATGTAATTGACTGAATTATTTTTTTTTAATTTAGCTACAAACAACCTCAGAATAGAAATTTTAGCTAAATTTTAATAACCATGTAGAACTACATATGGGAAATTTCTTATAGAATAGGGCCATGAGTACCTCATGCTGAGTCAAGATGAGAGACACATTGAGTGTTTTCATTTAGTTGTTAAGAATGTATTTGCAGCCTGGCAGGTGTGGCTCAGTGATTAAGCATCGACCTATGACCCAGGAGGTCACGGTTCGTTTCCTGGTCAGGGCACGTTCCCAGGTTGGGAGCTTCGGGGACATGCAGGAGGCAACTGATCAATGATTCTTTCTCATCATTGATGTTTCTATCTCTTTCCCTCCCCCTTTCATTCTGAAATCAATATATATATATAATTTTTTTAAGAATGTTTTTACATAAGCCATACAGTAGATTACAGGCAACTTTATACTGGTTCCTGAAACCTGGCCACAAAAATATTTTGCATTTTACCATGACTAAACTTGGTCTAAGAAAGATCAAACAGATAAATCACTAATAAGTAATCAAGACGACCCCATTCATCATACTGGGTTGGGTTGTCAGGGATGAGCAGACCAAGGCCTATGTTAGAGGCTACAGCTTTGAGGGAGGTGGGCCCTGAGCTGATGGATAGACAGGAAAGAAGGGCACAAGCAGACCAGCAGATGGTGAGAATGCTGTGGAGCACATAGCCTCTTATACTATGAGACTCGACTTTAGCCTATTCATCAGCATCTAACTTATTCTATCCTATCAAATTTCATCTGATCCTATGGAAGAATGCCAGGACTTGAGAATATCCTGCTCCAGGGCTATGGTGGGAAAACAGGCTGGGAAGGAGGCTTCGACACATATTCCTTCACCTTCACTGTATAATGAATAGAAATATATATTATTAAGTGCCTGGCATATTGTGCACTTAATTCAATTAATCCATTAAAGTGGGCTAAACAAATTAAAGTTTAATATTTCTATAGAGCAAAGAAGTAAGGTAGGTATAAGAGAGATGATGTTCTTGGTTTCCTTAAACCAGCGGTCGCCAACCTTTCAGACCTCACAGACCACCAATGGTCCGTGCACCACCGGTTGGTGACCGCTGCTTTAAATCATATCTATGCCTCACTGATCTTGATATTATTTGCTGGTTTGTATCTTCCCTGGTCTTAACTCACTTGTAGTTTTTACTTATATGTCTCTCTTTTGTTTTATATGTTCCTAGGAGCCTCTGTAAAAAAAATTTTTATTACAGGGGACAGCGTGAAGGCAGTCCCCCACTACCTCAAATTATGTAGTCAATTTTCCCACATTTGGGGAAATCGCAAGGGACAACACATCCGGAGTGCAATGGATAAGCCTTGCCCTGGGAAAACCACCTTCGTGATCATGGTATCTCCCTTGCTAGGTAAGTATCTCTGTAAATTTTTTGTAGAATAAGGGAGGAAATGGATGGATGACAAGGACGGACGGACATATAAACTGTTAGATAAGTGGTTGACAGTCCTTTTTTAATGTTTTTATTTATTTATTTATTTGTTTGTTTGTTTGTTTCTTTTTTTATTTTTTTGAAAGAGGGGAAGGGAGAGGGAGAGAGAGATAGAAACATCAATGAGAGAGAAACATTGATGAGTTGTCTCCTGCCCACCCCCTACTGGGGATCAAGCCACAACCCGGCCATGTGCCCTGATCTGGAATCAAACTGGTGATCTCTCAGTGCATGGGATGATGCTCAACCAACTGAGCCACACTGGGTGGGCAACAGTTCTTCTTAACTTATTGAAATAATATAGTCAACTAAATAGTATTGGATCTTTCCCTACTCAACAAGTGGTTTCAATGTAAGTCTTAAGTGCATGAATAATTCCCTAAGTGCGTACACACACACACACACACACACACACACACACACACACACACACATTCATGCAAACACACAAGAGAGCAAAAGCAATAGAAATACCTCCTCTTGTTCACTGCCAGCTCCTTGAGACTTTGTTTCCTCATCCACTGCCTCCTGAAGCTTGTTACTGACAGGATCCATTTCCTCACCATTTTCTTCATCAGTGCCTCCATTAACACGAGTGGTTCTTCCCTGCTCCTCCCTGTGCCCCGGCATCTCCTCTGCTTGCTCGGAGGCAGCTGTAGCCTCCCCAGCTCCTTCCTCTTCAACTTCACCATTCATTCCTGAAAACTCTTCTTTCTCTTCTGCATCCTTGCTTTCCTTCTCTCCGTCTTCTTCCTCATCTACAATTTCTGCTGGCCTCTGATGGATCAAAAGAAATAATGGGTAACAGTAAGAAGTTCAACACTAAGAAGTTATTTTCTACACATTATAATAATTAATAGTTGTGTTACAGTCAAGTAATACTTCCTTACATTTGCATAGTACTTTAATGTATATGATGTGTTAACCTTTATTGACTGCCTACTGAATGTCACTCTTCACAAGTATCTTCTCATTTGATTCTCATGATAATCCTGTGAGATTTGTCTTAGTCCTATTTCACAGGTTAGAAAACTAAGGTAAAGAGAGATCAATATCTAGCCCAAGATCCCACTGCTTATAAATGGAAGGGCCAGAATTAGATCTAAGCATGTGATTCCAGAACCAATGCTCTTAATGCCCAGAGCAGAGAGGATACTATACTGCAGGGTCTGTGGCCGATGTCCGGTGGAGTGTCTGGCCCTGAGGAGGAGGTAAGAGAAATTCTTTGCGGAGATAATATCATACTCACCACTAGTGCCTAGTGTGCGTTCATATCTCTAAATACAAAAAGGGCAAAGTTTATGGTACCAGAACGTGAATCTACCAGGTTTTCTAACACCAGATGTGGACACTTTCTACACAACGCCCAAGAAAGTTGACAGTATACCTCCAAACACCAACAACGACTGTTACGTAGATATGAAACCAAGAAGCTTTTAGTCCCTTCTGTAAAAAGTAAGAAATGCTCACGTATTTTATAAAGTCTAGTTAGGCTTTTTACTGCTATTTGGATACATGTAAACCTGCTCTAAAAGAGAGCAGGAGGCTGAATTCTCGAGCCAAGACTTCGGAGAGAGAACGACTTGGGGTAAAGTCCTGGCCAGGCTCTTACTGGCTTTACCTAACTTCTGTGAGTTTCAGATTCCCACTTATAAAATGGAAATACAATAACACTTCCATGGGGATCAAATGAAATAAGTTATATACAGTGCCTGGCACATCACAAATCCTAAAAAAAAATTAAATTCCTTCCCATTTGTTATAATACATTCTTTCCTGAAGCTATCATATTTCTGAACTGCCTCCAATAAAATGTGTGGGGTTTTTTTTTGAAGGATAAGTAGAAAAAAATAGAATGTTAGGACCTCAGACCTGCCTCTTTTTAGCTGTGTAGGGTTGTACAGTGCACTAAATACTGTGCCATCTGTAAATTGCAGGTTTGAGGCACAATGAACCCTGACCTCCCTTCCAGCTCTGGAAGTCCGTTCTCCTCTCAGTGCCCAAAGACTTGTTATGGGACAATTTACACAATGAGTGAACACGAGCTTTCAGTTTCTGAAGTAAAGACAGCAGTAAATGAGGACGAGTAGATTAACGTTCAGGAAAAATTTCACACTACATTATTTTAAAGAAGAAAGAGTTGAACCATGAATTCCTATATTCTATCAAAAATACAGTCTCAAATTTGATTACATGATATCAAAGATGCACTTTTTAAATGAAGGGGAAAAATAGTTGATTTTAAGATAGTCCAGAAAACAGTATTTATCATCATGCAGATTAACTAATAGTACACTGAGGCTGTGTCTTTCAAATTTTCATTCAGATGCCTAATGTGAACCAGCATCGGCGGGGCCCTAGCCAAGCCTAAGCATGCTGCCCAGGGCAGGGCCCTTGGGAAGGCCAAGAGCAGAAACTGGGGTGGAAGGGAGTAGATTGGCCAGGTGGCTTGGAAAAGCAAGAGGTTCATGAAATGTAACCATAGGGCTTTGCTAAGGATTCTGGGTTTTATGTATTAAGACCAAAATAAATAAAGGTGAGAAAAAACCCCAAGTTCCAAAAGAGAAAACAGTATGTTCCCATCTCCACACCCATGTCCCGCCCTCTCTCTAGAACAAACGTGGCAAAGCCCTGAGGCGGACACTCCTGAAGTGCAGGAAGTCGGGGCCTTCCCCAATGAGACACTAAGTCGGAGAGGGGCCTTCCGACTGGGGAGAGCTGGAATGAGGACCAAGTCAGAGAAACATTCTGGTGGCTCTCCACTCACCTGTCAGAGGAGGCCAGGACAAGGCCCAGGGGCAGCACATTCCTTTCCTGATGGCTCTGGGGGATTGAGGGAGATTCCATGGGGCCCTGCCAGACATGTGGGGGGCTCTCATCACAATGACTAGAGCAAGTGGGCCTAGAGCATTGGTTTTCACGAAGCAGTACTGCAGATGCCGGGTATTCAGAGACAAACACAGAGTCTGTGACAGCAAAGAGCTCAGAGCAGTGCAGAAACAATCTTGCTATGATAGGGCATGAGGAGAGAAGCAATAAGAGTGCATGGCAGGAAAGGGATATCCAAGGTGGGGTGTGGTAGCTGCTGCCAGGTGTCACATGACTGGTCACTGAGACTTCCAAAGCCTGGTGTCAATGGTGTTTGTGGGTAAAGATAACAGACGAGAGGCACACCCATCACCTGTCTGTGCCAAAGGACATGTTCAGTGCTTATGCATTCATCATTCTATATAACCTTCACAGTAACCCTACTAAGCACACTTCTTATACCCATTTTATTATAAGGCATCACACACCACTTCTAACACCACACCCGGGTAAGCAAGTGGGGCTAGGATTTGACCCCAAGGTGTTCTTGCCCCAAAGTTCTGGTGTTTATTCTCCCTTAAACAAACCACACAGATAATGCTACTTTACCTTGTTGCCACTGCAAGCACACTCAAGTGTACAGTGGAACCTCAGTTCTCAAACTTAATTCATTCCAGAAGGCTGTTCAAGAAGGATTTGTTTGAAAACCGAATCATTTTTCCCACTAGAAATAATGTAAATTGAATTAATCTGTTCCAGACCCCCAAATGATTCCCTGTTTTAACCTTTCTTATATACAGTACATGTCTAATGTACTGTTTAATCTATAAATAAATGCTCATTTTTTTAAAATTTATGGAATCAGGCCCCTACTAGCCTTAAACGAATCACTTTCAGCACTTGTTCCAGGGTGTCCTTCAGGTCAGCAGGCAGCATCTTTGCTTGTTCACATATCACTGCCTCCCAAAGGCTGTCACCGGCTAACCGCTTTCCTTTATCCAAATCAACACAGTTTTTCTACCTCTTCAATTGCCTGTGATCCTTGCTTCTTTCACACCCTTAGCAACATTAGCACTTTTGATGGCCTCTTTATGCTTTCAGATTGTGCTAATCCTTGACCCAGGCAACAAAAGTGTTCTCTCCTTTGTTAGTTGCCTGAGAGATGCTTTTTGTCATGCTGAGGTATCAGCATGAAAGGGTTGTCAGTTAGAGAACTGACGTTTGGTTGGACAACCAGGGCATTTTTTCTGTGAACAACCTGGTTGGGAACCGAATTGTTAGAGATGGGAGACATTTGAGAAACAAGGTCTGACTGTACTTGCAACGGTCAGAAATATGACATCTGCAGTAGGCAACATTACTTTTCCTGTTTAAAGAATTTCCAACCTGAGAACAAAACATCTCTGGACTTCTGTTAAAGACTCATGGTACGATCTAGGGAGGAAACACTGTAAAGTTTGTTAGGCAGTGTACCTGAAGCAGTACATTTAAAAAATTCAGAAACACTACTGCACTAATGGCCAATCAGAGATTTCATTTTAAGTTATCTCTGAGAACTGGATAATTACAAATCACTCTCCTAAAATTGTTATCATCCTTACTGTGCCTAAAGTTCCCTATCAGAGCAAATTTGGGTTTTGATTTAAAGAGAAGTTATATATTATGTCCTCAATAAAAAATTCAGTAATAATAACAGAAAAAGACCCTCAAAATGTACTGTAACCATTAGGAATCTGGATATGTTCCCAGACTCTCTGGGAATATATTACACGGGCTTGCTAAAGTCTGTTCAGGTGACTACCTTCTGTCTAAATGGGGGAAAGTCTGTTTTCCTTTCTTGACATCTGAATCTATGCCTGTAAGTTGCAAAACAATTGTGTGTTGATTTTTAATTTTGTATTTTCCATCTTACCCTTTTCTTCACTCCCAATTCCCAAACACACATACCCTTTTTCTCTGTTTAATTCAAAGGGCTGGCAAACACCCTAATCTCTTTTTAAGGAGAAGGAGACACCGAGCCCCAAATTCCAGCTCTGTTCCCTTCACTATTATAACCACCACCACTAACAAGCAGGATTATGCTTTCATCCCATTATTTGTATTAAACTTCCCCAGCATAGCTATTTCAGTAGTCATCAAATGAATCCACATCTGGTTAGCTCAACTTTAAGAAATGCAAGATTATGGTGCTGAAATACCATTTTGATCAATTTAAATAAGACAGTAACATTAGTTAAAAGGCTTATAATTCTTTAAAATATCCTGAGTGTAAAACAAAATTTATTATTACTATGACACTACAATTCAGGGCAAAAAAAATGCTTCTATGACAGATCTGTAATGAATAAATGAAAAGCAATGTGCTTTTTGGTGTTATCTCCTTTGAAGTAGGCATTAAATTATTAAAGGTGTTTCCAGTGTATACATCAATCAAACCATCCCCAGAAGGAACACTGGTTTTTACACGCATGCACACATACACATAGATAAAATCTATACCATCATGAGGTCCTGCAAAGAAGAAAAAGAGCCCTCCTACAAGAGGAAGGGTGCCCATGGTGGGAGGGAGCTATTCTTTAGGGTAAAGAAAAAAAAAAGAGGCAAAGTGAGTGAGTTGCACACTTCCTCAATCCCCTTCCCTCCTTCTCTTGCTATAGAAAAACTTTTGAACCTAGTACCCCTCCCACAACCCAGAAGTGACATCCAACCTTGACAGTGGGACTCTCACAAAGGAAAATTTACTCAGGTGAATGGGATTCTTTGGAGGCCACCAGCAAAACTAAGCTTCTCTTATCTCATAGCTAGAACAGCTCTGTCCTGAGAGTCGGGCAATCGGCTAAAGAGCTATGCGCAAAGCCAGACACGGATAGTCACATATTGTATGATTTAATTTATATAAAACATTCATAGGTAAATCTATCAAGACAAAAAGCAGATTAGTGGTTGCCAGGCTTGGGTAGAGGGGGGAG